GAAGTCTGTGTTGGGGTCAGTGGGTGCAAGAAAGGAAGAACTCGCCTTCTAATATTCCCCAAACAATAGTGGATGGATAGAACACTAGAACACAACTTGAATTTGTGCTACATTTGGATGGGAAGCTGGCTAATAACTGGTATATTTACCTCTTAAAATAGACTATTTTTTAAACAATGTTTTAAACATTCCAAAAATTAAGTTAGTTAAATCCAGGCAAAATAATTTCAGCAGTTTATGTTAGAGCAGATGAATGTATGTCGTGGGGGGCAGAGCCTTGTAGTTCCAACCTTTGTGACTTCGTAGGGTATTCAAGTAGAACCACCCCGTCCATCCCTCAGGTCTTACCACTTACCACTCGCCAGGTCTGCCCTAATTCTCCTCTGCCAGCCTGGTTGCACCATTTCTCGCTCTTTTTCAGCTAGAGCCATCTGGATGCTGTCTCTGTGTGCCTGGTGATGTCTGTGACTAATGTCTTGCAGACTGGGCCTCTAACCCCAAGGATTCCCAGTGCTCTCCAGAGTGACTGCCCTGGGAAGCCCCTTCTGACTATGGGACCACCTTCACCTCCTTACTCAATTACAGCTATTACCAAGGTATTTAGTCAATTACTTACCCAGTCATTCACTCAATTTCCCTAGTCAATTACTCATTACCTAGCCTCAATTACTTGGCCACTTGCTCTGCTTATGCTAAACTGAATTGCTAGCTATAAAAATTGAATAGTAATAAAAAATAATCTGACAGGTGGAACATTCAAAGATTTGTTGGAAAGCTGATGCCATACTGAAAAGCTGGCTTTAATTTGTATGAAGGAGTTAAAGGAGTACGGCTAGTTGGAAAAGTGGGAATGAGTTGAATTACTATGAATGGGACTGACAAGTGATGGTATCTGCTTAGTGATTCCTGGGTCAAAGACTTCATTTCAAAGAGATTTTAGCTGAGGCGCACCTCTTATGATTATGCTTCTCGCGCCCAGACCGTAACTCCTATCACCTAAATGGGGATATTATATGAAATAAAAGAACCTGCTGGGCACAGTGGGTGAGATCTGTGTGTATAGGGTCCAAAATGTAACCACAAGGGCAGTCAGGAGAAGTGGCTGTTTCTGCTTGACTCCTAAAACAGTAGTAGTATTGCTACTGCAATTGAGTGAGCCATTGGTTGACTTCTGTGGATACTGGGATGGGCATGGGAAAAGGCTAAATAAGCATAGGCATAAGCACACACAAATCTGTCACCAGTCCCTCATCTGATCCTGATGGAGACATTGGTGGTTGGAGCCAGCTGACACGAATGTTCTAATCCAAATGTTTACAGTGAATCATTTTATTCTATTTTATTTATGTATATTTCATATAGTACTGTACTAGTTTTAGTAATAGTAGTATGACAGCAATGGTTTATACTATATGTATACAGTTTTTAGTACATTGCATTGACTTTAAGGAAGGCAAGGACCGTATTTATATTCTTGGTAAGTCTCAAATTAAAATACACTAATCTAAACAGAGCTGTTGTGAATATATCCTTCCACTAATTTATCAGTGTATCTTATACTCTAGTGGATGTTTCAGGGGAAAAAACAGGACAGAGTGTTATTATCATTATATCCAAATTTCCCTGGGCTCTTTAAAGTTGTTGCCTGTTAACTGACACATAAAGATTAAAGACACCGTAGCAATTTGCAAGCAGTCCGCTATGACTTATATTTGAGTACCCCTGGGTTAGACCAACATAAAAGAAACAGGAATCATATCTGTAAGTGATTACATAAGCAATGCAACAACTGGATAAACAGAGATGAAGGAGAACTTTCACACTGTTTAGGCAGCTCAATCTTACTCCTGAGGGTAAAGTGCCATCTTGTGGCAGAACTACGACAGGATAATGTAGAAGATATAGAAAACAATATACAACACATTCACTTTAAAACAAATACTGTACATGGCACAACTGAGCTAAGAGGATTTAGTCATGCAGTATGACAGTTGGAATCATATGACAGTAAAAAGGTGCATATTCAGGAACTGTGGAGTAATACAATTAATAAAGCATATTCATTGTTGTAACTAGCAACTAGGTCCAAAATGAATGCTAGAGGGTGCTTACAGCGTCCTAGTTTGAAACATAGAGCCACTGACCAAGCTGCTGTTTTTGACAAGTTGGGAGTGAGAAAGTGTTTGTTAAATCACCCAGTCAAATTCATTGTGGGCAGGCGTCAGGTGACTTGTAATTGGTGAATTCAGAAATTCCTATGGAGGAGCAGAATTTCAGATGCACTAAAATAACTCCATGACTTCTTATTTGATTGCAGGAGCAGGTAGTGAGGAATATCAACAGACTGCCTGTATTGGTCCGGAATAATGTTCTTCCACAGATTCCTTACAGATTGTAGTAGGACGGCAGAGAGGGAAACAGATTGACAGCAGCAACAGCATGGAGTTTAACAAATCTTAGTATTTAAATATGACAATGTGCTAATGATATTAGCGATTAATATAAGCCTTTAGAATAGCAACTCTGTAGCTTCCATGAACACCTAGGCACTGTTGCATACCTGCATTAATTATGAGAGAGGACTGAACTTTGGGCAGCTTTACAGTTGACACTGTGATATAAGTGGTTCTTAGTGATGTAATTATTATGCTCCAATTTGCAGGATCACACCTAAGGGGGTAAATTATGACAGAGCTTTAAAGGTTAAAACGATAGAGGTGCAGAGTCAGGTACTTTTGATTCCACTCGAGGATCTAAGAGGAATGAGGGAGCAGATAGGACCCTAAAGCTACATTTGGATTTAGAGCGTGCGGAGGTTGAAGTGCCACGTAGTTAAGTACAGAAGGTATTAAATAATATTTTTACTAAATCTAGTCCTATAGTGAGAGGTTAAAAAAACAGCACTACATTTTATACTGTATCTCTTTGTCCTACTGTATCCAAAGCCATGTCTAACCCACTTGAGGTTCCAGGGGCAGTGGGTCCTTATTGACACCCCACACTACCGCCATCAAATAATCAGATTTAAACGGGGAAATGCATTCTGTAAGCACAATTTAGACTTAAATAATTAAGGTATAACAAGCTTTATAACACAGCACCTGTCTTCAAGACAGGATCTCAAAAGTGAGTAAATAGGTCTCAAAAATTCCCTTCTGAGATTCAGTATATTCTAATTTACTATATTCCCAAGGAAATTAGCAAGTGATTTTAGGCAAAGGAGAACTCTAAGAAGACTGAGGGTTGTAGGTTAGTGTTTGACGATCAATCATTGTAATTCATTTTTATTTATTTTAATTTTTTTATTTCATAAAAAATGAATACTTGTTTTTGTGGGTAAATGCAAGTGCAGCAGGTTAACAGAGGAGGTAACTGTTCAGTTTTCAAACTACACGGGAGGGTGGTCTCTCCCAAACTGAACTACTGTATGTACAAAATATGGGGCAGTAAGCTTCATAGTCAAAGGAAAGTCAAAAGATCTGGAGCATACGGTAACAATTCACCTTAATAAACCTAGGGGAAAGTAGGCCTACATGCTGAATCAAGGTAACGGGCGGATCTGCTATATGCTCTGCATCTATTGGCTGAAAACTACAATAATAAACATTTCTCCCTTAGCCTCACTACAACTTGTAAGTAAATGATGCCAAAAATTGTTAGTATTGTCATCATGACTGAAGTATCTGTTATTTGGGTGTTTTCCCACTGCGTGGCACTGCTGGTGCTCCTATTGGTGCTGGTGTACACTAGTTGGTCATCACAACTGGTGATGATAAGATGTGTGTGCTGTATTCACACATGAATCGTGGAATGCTTAGAGCGTTCAGGCTACTTTATTATTTTGCAAAGCTGACATTTTTTTTCAACTAGGATTTGGTCTCTGAAGCAACAGACGATTTCTTGAAGGAAATGATCCATTAAGAAGACTTCAGCTCTGCATGAGAATGGCTCATCTATTTTCAGACAGCAAACAGTGCAGCTTGTTTGTGTGTCCATGCCATAAAATTACAAATTCGCACTTGGCACACACACGTCTGCATTTGAACTTAAAAATATTAGGGTTTCAGTCTGATTTAAAGGCGTTTGTACGTCTTAAAAAAACAAAACCCTGTTAGCACATTAAAATTGTATGTTGGTAAAGGACTTGTGTGTAGGATTTAGTGGCATCTAGTGGTGAAGTTTCCGATTGCAACTAACTGAACACCACTGTAATTGACAACCTGGGAATGAGAACAGACTGTGAAGCAGCTTGGAACTGAAAGCGTCTGTATTGATGATGTATTGATGATGCATTGATGATTATCTGTTCCAAGCTTCAAGCCACCAAACCAAAGTGTTGGTATTTGACAATCGGGGAATAAGACTCAACACTCAACTATCTTTCTCTGCTCTGATTTGTTTCAGCAAACATGACAAAAATGTTTTAAGTTTAAAGTTTCCTTCTGCAGATTTAACTGCAAATGACTATATAAGAGCTGAACACAAACACAATTATTACACTATCATCAACTATCATTTAGCTACACATTCACAAATTAGTTTCCAGTACCTTTAATTATTCTTGTTTTTTTTTAAAGATCTTATGATACAACTTTGTCACATTGCAAGCTGTGCAAAGAACTGACTCCACCAATCCCACACATCCCCATATAAAGTTAGGAGGCAAATGTCAGCAGAGGAATGAGAGTGCCTGCGAGTGATGCCATTGAAATGGACAGTGTTTGTCCAAATGATATTCAAAATTAGAAATTAAAATGTTTTCCCAACACAACACACGTGTATTGATTCAGTCTCCTCTGCTATATAAATAGTAATAATAATGACTTTTGTTGTCTTTGTTAGATTTAGGGAATAGAGATGTCTGATGTGATCTATTTAATCAATGACATCACAGTTACTTGGCACGTTATTTCTTGTCAAATTGTTGAATGCCCAATGACCAAGCCGTCCTGCTGAATGAGCTGGCAAGAAAAGGCAAATTCTTCAAAAATGTACAATTTTGTGTTTTAATTAACAAACATAAAGCATTTTATTACAACCAACAATAAGATAAATTAACTACTGACCAACTGAAACATCTGACAGTAGCAGACATCATCACACTAACTTTGATTAAAGAAAAACAAACTACAGCATTCTGATAAATCCATGTAAAACATTCACCTAAACTTTCAAGTTATATATTCTTTAAAATACAGGTCCTATAGATAACATGAGTATGTACAATATTTACATAGTACCAACAAAAACGATATTAATGACATTTTTACACTTAATGTTGACAACACAAATTAATAAACCAAGCAAGCACACACCAAGTTTGGTCTTTAATGTCTACATAATTCAAAATGACATAATGATAAAGTATCAGTCAATCATGGTCAGGTGGAAAACATTCTGAAAATGAAATGGACAGCCTGTTTATTGTGTTTGCTACATAAAGCTACTGGCTAACTGAGGTTGTTCAACCAAGGCTGCTAAATAACTTTTGCTTGTAGTGAAGTACATTTTAAACCCAACCCCAACAGTTTCCATGTAACAAAACAAGTATTTTCTAGTAGTATTTTATGCAGAGGGAAGAACATGGAGAAACTCTTGAGGTCCAAGGTAAAAGGCATTGTCATTACAGCAGTACGCTATATTGCACAAGCGAGCCAGCATTCAGGAGATAATCTACAACAGAAAAAAAAAATGGCTGAGATGCATAAAAAAAAAAAAAGACATTTAGCGTTGGAGACATGCATCTCTGTTCACAGTATTCATCAATGAAGATGAAGGTAGTTACCCTGCCTCCTGTAGTAGTGTATGTGAATATGACTAATGGTCGTGAAGGCAGGAGAGTACAGGTAGCCACAGTGATTTTGTTTTCTGTTCACAAGGCTGTAGCAGCAGCATTTGCCTGAATAAAATATATAAAACAGCATGCAATGAGTTGGGTACGCTAAAGGACCTGTCCCACAGTAGTTGCAACTTTAGCCAACTTTAATCGACTGTAATTATTAAATATCTCAAGTGCAAGAAAAGCAGCTGTAGCCTAACATGAGAGCAGTGTGACAGTAGATAAATACCAAGTTCTAACTCGGCTCAGTTCATTTAATGGGGGTGATCTTGTCCAGTCCTGGCCAGGCGGGGATGTAGTAGCGAGGCAAAGTGCCTTCCATGAGCCTTTCCATCCACAACCCCAGGCGGTCCAGTTTGTGGTGGATCTGCAGGGTGGATATGCTGCGGGATCGGTTGGATTTGCGCGGTGGGTGGTCGTCACGGGAACTGGATCTCGACCTCCCCCCCGAAGCGCCCCCTTCATCCTCAGATGACTTATTGTCAAGGTCTTCCCCAGTGTAGACGGGCTTGAACAGACAGAGATACTTCTTGTGGCCGTTAAGTGCCAGCACGTAGCCGGTGTAGTCTATCTTGTGGTTTCCACTGTCATCCTCCTCTGCATCGATCTGCGTGGCGTCCTGTGCGTATTCCAGCAGAGTGTTCATCCAATGGCTGTGCTTGTCAATATTCAGGAAGGAGAAATGCAGCGTCATGCTCCTAGGAGAGAGTTGCAAGACTTAATGTAACAAAGTGGCTATAAACATGATAGGTTAATACACATCCTAAATGTGTTTTTTTTATAAACTCATATAATGGAGTTTTTAGTTCCACATGAGGAAAAGTGAATGTTTAGTTTACCCTGTGAAGGAGTAGACCTCTTTGGCAAACTTGCTGAGCAGGATGTTCTTGGAGGCGTCAGTGAGCACAAGCACTATGTTCATGTGTCCCGGCCTCAGCTTCACCAGGTTGCTCATGTAAGTGATATCCGTCAGCTCCGTCACCTCCACAAAATTCTTCTTGGGAGGCCGACTAAAATCAAAAGCAATAATAAAGAACATTAAAAGCCTGATGAGAAATCCTGCTCTCTATAAAATTTGTAAATTATAAATGTACTCTTGCCTTGAAGTACCACCAGTCCCCGGTGACCCATTCTCTGCTTTTGTTCCATCTTTCGCCTTTGGTTTAGTCTGTTTATCATCACTTGAATCACTGAAAAAAACCACACACAAATAACATTTTCCCAAAGGTAATAGGCAGGCGTAGAAGAGCAAAATGAATAGCGTTATTACTTCAGTTTCTTTGGCTTGTCTGTCTAGCTCTCTGTGTGCTGTTTTACACTAATCCCAGCAGGAGAAGGTGACGTTGCCATAGTTACAGTTTTTCTGATATGGTAACACAACTAACCTGAAGGCCTGGATGACCACAGTTCCAAACAGGATGAACAAAGCAGAGAAGATGAGGGACAGGAGAGGCATCATCTCACGCCTGCAAATCATCATAGATGTCAACAAGACACACTCTATTCACATCTGCGTTGGCATCATCATGTGTTATTGCATAACAGAAAATGAAATACTGTTGTAGTGCAAATTTCACACTTCCAAAATGTTTCATCTTTAACCTCAAATTCTTACATACACATCAAACTGTTTAACTGAATCTCAAATGAAACTTCAGTTAGACAGTTAAAGATCTTTACCTACCAGTTGTTATGGAGAATATCATCGATGACTTCAGAGAGGTAATCGTAAGATGCATAGATCCATCGGATTACAAACATCTGTTGAGTGAGAGGATTTGTACATTTAGTAGCAGGACCGGCGGTTATAAGAATACTGGCGGCACAGACAAGCATTGTTCAAACCCACTGTTTTTACTCTTAGGGAACCTACAGAGGCAAACTCGTTGTTGAGCTCAGGCAGCATTGCGTCATGGATGAGGATGGACGGGTCCTTCTGAAGTCGCTCCAGCTCCTCCAGAAGACGCTGCTTGTCTTCCTCACTGCCATTCCAGGCCGTCACTGGCTTGAACAAGGCCTTGCCTGCAGCGTTACGCCTCTCCAGGATCACCACCTGAGTCCGAAAAAGTCAGTATGAATCTTGAATAATACACTTTTTATGGCACCTTGCAGGACCACTTTAAAGAATAAAATAAGTTTTGAGGGTCCTGTTTTATTTTATTTTAAGGTGTAATAGAGCAGCAACTTGTAATATTTTTTCTGAATTCTAACACATTATACTCATTACTGATTATCAAAACAAATATGCTGAATTAATATATATGTATGGGTCTACCTGTGTTGGTGATTGTGCGCTGTCCTTGTTCTGCATGAGGATGTCACAAAGAGGCTGCTGTAGCCGTTGGTACACGTAAGCATATCTAACAACCTCCTTGGCATTGGTGGAGGCAAAGGAGAGGAAGGCCTGGTTCCCGAAAGAAAAGGTCTCTTCATCACCGGTGATCAGCAGGACACAGTATCTGAGGGGAGGAAAGACGTTAGAGGAACTTAGCAAACGCAAACACACAAACAAGCTGTGTGAACAGATGTGAGGTTCTCTTACTTTCTGCGTCTGTGGAACTGTTTGACAGGACAGAGCTCATCGAAGAGCTTCTGATTGACCAGCCGTGGCACGAGGAGAAATTTGTTGTTTGACATGAACTCATCGATAATTTGCTTTTTCATTCCTTTAGCCTGCGCAGGTTAAACACAACCACATAGACAAAAGACGTGAGGTGACATTTCAGTGAACACAAGTGCAACCAGCTCTGTAGATATAGAAAACAGTGACTCGGAAAACAAAGTGGAACTGCTTTCTGCCCCCGAGCTTCCTGGGATTGCTGTGATTTACCTGTATAATGTCAGCAGGCTTGTCAATGTTCTCTTTGAAGACCAGCATGGTTGGAGCGTAAGTGTTAATATTGAACTGTTTCTGCAGATTGGCGGTCTCTGAAAGACCCTGGTCCACATAGCCGAACTGCAAGTAGTCCTTATAAGCAAACGCTGTCAGCTATGGAGATGCAGAGACAAATGATCGACACGTTTGTGTTACTGTCAGTGGCACCTGAAGTGCATTTCACATGAAGTAAGTGCAAGGCAATGACCTACTTTGAACAGTAGAGGAACGACAGGCACTTGGTCGAACAGAAGCACATGAGGCTTGTTGAGCTCATGCCAGCTGTTCAAGAACTGCAGGTCATTCTTGTCGGTGACCTGAAATATATAAAAAAAAAGCAACACGTTTGAATTTATCCTACCAATCCATCTTCTGAATGTCGTTTATAAATCTGTTCACCTAATGTTTATCAGTGGGATATTTACCCGCTCCACAAGTCTCTGAGGAAGAAGGTCTTCTACAAACTGCCTCAGGTGCTCCTTTGCTACAGCGTAATGAAAAAACGTCACCTTGCCATTGATGACTCCGAGTATTGATGGAGTGCGATGAGCACCGAGGTGATTGGCCAACCGCCTCTCATAGCCAACATCCACCACACCTATTCCGACACCTGCAGGATGTCAACAAACATACAAACATCAACCTCTTCCAACTCCTGTGTAATTTCACAGACGGCAGGGCTGCTGGGTAATACTGGATTTAGATTTATGGGTTCATTCCAAACCTAGGGTCTCCATCTCCTGCACCACCTCCTTCCAGACAGGCTCGATGTGGATGCAGCTGAAGCACCAGTCAGAGGTGATCTTTATCAGGTACGGTCTCTTGTAGCTGTCGGGCACCACGTCGCTCACATACTGGTTAAAGTGCAAGATGTATTTGCTGTCCGCAAAGTCTCTGTGGTTCTTGCTGTTGAAGGGAAAGTTGAAGAAGGACTCATCGAAGTAAAAGCTGTCTTGGCGCTGACCGTAGCGGTTGCCGCCGTATGGCTGGGTGTCATCAGTCTGCCCGTAGCGGTCATAGTTGGCACGTTTGTCCTCATTGGACAGGATCTAAATTTGGGGAAGAACAGATATCATCTTCCTCTCCTGTGTGTATTACTGGCTTTATAACATCTTATGGTTTTGATGAATTGCATTTTAAAAGGTGGCTTACCTCATATGATTTGGTAATCTTGATAAACATGTCCTCAGCACCTGGATTTTTGTTTTTGTCCGGATGCCTTGAGAAGAAGACGCTCATTAGCTGAGAACTCAACTGGCTCTATAAAAACAAGCTCAGTTTCATGTGAAAGCTTTTACCATTCTTTTGCCAGACGCTTATAGACCTTCTTGATCTCAGCCTGGCTCGCACTCCTGGTTACTCCCAGGATTTTGTACGGGTCCATCTCAGGCCCGGCATGGGTGGCTCCTGTCAGCAGCACTGAGAGGACCACCACTACAACCAGCGGCACACACATCTTTGACCGCGCCATCACAGTTACCTGTAACACATCAGAAGAGCCATCACCACCGGGCGGACTCACTGTGGCCATGTTCACACCTGAAATCACGACACAGCCTTTCAGCTGACACAGCTTCTCCTCCATATTGACGTTAGCCCTGTAATGATGCACAGCCATGAAGACAACCGGGTAGCTAAACAGGGTGGCATTACAGCTGATTACAAGCTAACTGTAGAAGCTAGGTGATATATGTCAGCTACAGCAACAGACATTAGTATCATAATCCTGTAGACGTGTCAGTGGGCTGTGATATTAACGACATTCATCGACGGTCACGCAGTTTTTTTCCCCTTAGGGGTTAGTTGCGTTGCTACAGTAGCTAGCTGTCTGTCTGTCTGTCTGTCTGTCTGTCTCTCTGTCTGTCTGAACGCAACAGCTCTACATTCACAGTCACCTCAAGCAGACGCGGTCAGCCGGTACTACGCCACATATTTGGTGAAGCTTTTGACGTTCTTTGGCTAGCTGATGTGAAAACACAGCGAGATGCAGGGTGTGTTCATCAGCATCCCACCGCTCCTGCCTCCAGGGCGAGCTGACAACCTGCTGCTGCGAAGCAGGAGTAGAGAGGGGGAGGTGCCCAGCGTCGAAAGTGATTTTGGGAGATTGAGTATATGGTGACACTTTACACTTCGTCTGTGTGTGTTTGTTTTATCGTTAGTCGCGCTGCTGTTGTTCGGGTGAGTGTACTGTGGTGCGCCGGCTGTGCGGCAGCGGCGCGCGGTGACTGAAATCAAACGCACCGTGTTTTTCTCTCTCTGGACCAATCACAGACAGCGGTGATGTAAACAAGGGAACGGCGAATGCAACCGAGCACAAATACGAGAAATGTAAAGGGAACTTGTTGGAACAAGGTTTCAGTTCCCTTCCACAAACGAGTGGGGTTGTTTCAGGATACCGACTGACTCTGTAACTGTAACAAAATCAGTAAGTTACAAGCTTTTATAATATTTCTCCGTCTTCCTCATTCCGGTCGTTAGTATTGAATGGAGGACAGATACAGGAAGACTCTTCAGCGCAACAGGACCAATCTCGTGAGAGACTTGGACCCATCAAAGCTCTACGATGGCCTTCTTGAAAAAGGAGTTTTCACCCAGGACATGATCGATGAGATAAAGGTATCCGGTTAACCGTCAGTTGTTTGTGCGGTGCTTCGTGGACGCTCAGAGCAACGCTTTGGTAACACACCTGTAACTGTGTCTCCTCTCAGAGCTCGGGGACCAGGCGTGAGCAGGCCAGCCAGCTAGTCCGGGACTTGGAGACCCGTGGGAGACGAGCCTTTCCATTATTCCTGGAGTGCCTTCAGGAGGCAGGTCAGCACAGTCTGGCAGAGCTCCTACAGAATGAAGCTCCAGCTGCTCAACTACAGCCTGCAACCCCCACTCAGGTTGTTCGCCCTGTTGTCCACCCTCTCCCAGTGTGTAAGTGTGGGAATCTGTGCTATTATATTCCCCAAGTAAATGATAAATGATTTCAAAACACTGTGGTGTCATTTGTTGCTCATATACGTGCTCTTTGTGTCTCCAATAGCCTCTCCAATGGATGTGGACAAGCAAAACAAAGATCATGTCCCAGTTTATCCAAAACAGATACACAGTACTACTCCCACTCCATGTAAGCTATAAGGTTAATTCACATATTGGTAACCGTCTGGTGAGTTCCTTGATGTTTAACACATATGGATGCTTCTGTCACAGCACCTGAAAGGGAGAACATGAGACCAAGGCCACAAGGCAGAACTCGACGAGATAGCATCCAGGTGAGCACCTTGTATTTATCATGCACTTTATAGCCAACAGAAAGATAATGCTTTATGTAGAAGCACATTATCTTTGTTAAATCTCCTTCTCTGCTTCCCTTTTCTGTGTGTGTGTGTGTGTGTGTGTGTGTGCCAGACCTATAAAATGGACTCCAGCCCGTGCGGACATTGCCTCATCATAAACAACGTAGAGTTTGCTCCTCAGAGCGAGCTGAGCAATCGCAAAGGGTCCAACATAGACTGTGACAAGCTTGAGCACAGGTTCAAGGCGCTCAACTTCATTGTGGAGGTTAAGACAAACCTGAAACAAAGAGTAAGTAATGAGTCATCATTTTTCTGTGTGCTCAAGCCATACTTAAACCATTGAGCTTGAGGTTGTAAACAATTATCTCTGCATTTCAGCAAATCAAACATGAGCTGTCAGCTTTATCTAAGAAGGACCATTCACAGTATGACTGCTGCGTGGTCATCATGCTGTCCCATGGGACTGAGGTAAGACATGTCCTGCATTTGTTTTTTCCTGAGAACAATTCACAATAATAGATGTGTTCAGTGTATGTGTCTGATGTATAGAAAGTTGGATGTATTCCATCTGTTGACACATAATAAATGCCATCACACCTTTCTCTCTGACCTACTCAAGTTCAGATCCAGATGATTTATGACCGTATGTATGCTCATATTTATGTTTATAGGTGAGTCACAACCGCTTCCCTGGTGCCGTGTTCGGTGTGGACGGACAGTATGTCCCGGTTCAGCACATCACAAACTACCTCAATGGCCAGCATTGTCCATCGTTACAGGGCAAACCCAAACTTTTCTTCATCCAGGCTTGTGGAGGAGGTAGCTAACTCAGAACAATTAAAAACTGACTGTAAAAAGCAACCTTTTGACGGGGTCTCATAGGGAAACATTTGTGTGTGTCCTTTAGATGAAAAAGACCATGGCTTTGAGGTTTCCCCCGATGAGGTTGAACCATCCATCGGTGGAGCAGATGATCAGACGGATGCCATTCCCACGTCTTCCAGCAGCGACTCTCTGAGTACGTCCGATGAACTGGACGCCAGAGCCTCGCTGCCCACCCCGAGCGACATTCTGGTGTCCTACTCTACTTTTCCCGGTGTGTTTGTGTTGCGTTCATGCATCTGTGTTTATTTTGATCAATAGCACACACACAGGCCTGCTGTGTATGTCTTCCTAATGCCGCTTTGACCATGTGACAAAAACAGGTTACGTTTCTTGGAGAGACACCCAGTCTGGCTCCTGGTACGTCGAGATACTAGACCGTATTCTTGAGGAAAATGTGGCTACCGACGACTTGGTCACAATGTTGATGATGGTGAGCTTCTCTTAGTGTATTAGCAGAATTAGCTGAGGCTCTGTTGAACACACTTTGACCATTTAGAGCTTTTTATTTTAAACATACACACATGTGATTGTTGACTGTGCTCATTTGCAGGTTAACAACGAAGTCTCCCAAAACTCTGCAAAAGGGCTCTACAAGCAGATGCCTGGTTCCTTTAACTTCCTCCGCAAACTTCTCTACTTTCAAAGCCAAAGTTCATCTTAACACCTCACAGTTTCACTTCTAGGAATGTTAGCCTACTTTAGCGCCATAAAGCATGACTTTAATTCAAATTATGTCTCAGCAGATTGTGCAGAGTGTTAAGTGTATAAATCTGCTGAGTTGTGGTTGTACATTTATTGAGAGTCATGTCTTACTCTACATTTGTTTGTCATGTCTTGCTGTATTTTTAATAGTTGTCAATTTTTCTAAATTAACTTTTTAGGTATAAGCGTCATCTTGGAAAGAAAATATCAACATAGTGTGATAATGTGGTTCAGATTAGTTTTTTATATCATTGGTGTCTTATCAACAAATAGCAGCTGTCATTGATTCAAGACAATCAATGTAAAATACCTTTGCTGACTCTTACTTTAAGTCTCTTAATATACTGATTCTAAAACGGGATATTTGTGCTTACATTATGTATCACATTACGCTGTTAGCATTAATATAGAATCCGTTGGTATCATTTATAAAATACATTTACTAGACACCAGTAGATGGTGTTGGTGAGTCACAGAAGACTCAAGATCTCACAGATGCCTTCTATGAGTGATTTCCATCCACTACCACCTGGGGTCCACATACAATTAGAAACGCTTCCATCTCATTTGGTCACCTCACACGCTGTGTCAAACGTGGGTTTATTTCTAACAGCAACAGAATTAAAACACTCTGAAACAAGTCATGAGACACAAACATCACCTGATGTTTCTCATATCATAACACAGAAAAATTAACTTGACATCACTGGGAGTCCCTTTGTAAGATGCAGTCAGTCAGTTTCTCCATATAGCTCTAATTCTTCAGTTAGCCTCTCAGGAAATCTTATTGATTCAGCCATTGTCTAACATGGTTATCATGTTATAAGGCCTACAGAACAAATAAACTGTGAACATACAAATGTTAAATAAAATAAAGCTTCTAAGATCTCCGTATGGCTGTGTCAATCTGTTAATCTGTTAGTCCACCACTTTGGTCCAGATGGAACTTTGTTGATTCCCTGACTTTTCCTCTAGGCCGATGTTTTCTGTTATTCTGTGAAGTATCTCAACATCTACTTGAAGGACTGGCATACATTGCTTTTCTTTAGCTGCCCCCAGACCCTGGGGAGGAAGCTGGCTGTTAGAGGGGACAAGCTGTCACCCACTGAACAGGGGGGGATGAGATTAGGTAGCGAAGTGACAAATTAAAGAGGGGAATAAAGTGTAAATGTAAGTGAAAAGAGTGTATGTAGTTTTTGGTGTGTCACTGTAATGACACTGTAACTCATGCTATAATATATTTGTTGTAAGTGTATCCATATGTGAGACTCTGTGAAAAATAATTCCTCTCTATTGAACCTAATGGCGGTGAGCACAGTAAAACCCAATAGTTGTGCAGGCTAAAAAAAAAAAAGATTTGCTAATGATGTTGTAACCAAAATTGATGGGGGCGGAAAAAAGTGGATATTGTTAGAAATATATTAATGCGAAAACGAAACAACACACACACACAAAAGTAAAACAACACACACACAAACATAAAATAAGTAAAAAATGAAGATATAAAAATTAAAATCTGTATGTTGGTGGTGCTGTAGGAAGACAATTAATTAGCCAGTTAACCAATCAAACAACCAAATAAATAGGTAAATAAATAGTTAAATATATAATAATAATAATAATAACAAACAAAACAATAATAATAATAATAGTTTAAAAAAATTGTAAAAAAGTAAATAATAATAATTTAGTAAAAGAATATAACAAAAACAACCACAACATTGTTGGATATATTAGGGAATAGTGATGTAAAGAGACATAATAATAAGTAATTACGAGAATACAAAGCAAACCCAACAGCCTCTATAAGCACACCAACTGTCAGAATGAAATGAATAATGATAGTAACAGAACATCAGCAGTAGTGTAATAAAGAAGAGAGAAACAAACAAACAAAAAAAGAGAAGAGAAAAGAAAAATAGTGGTGGGTAGGTACCAGGGGTGTGTATGTGTGTATGTGTGTTGTGTTGTATATGTCATTCAGGAAGTAATGACTTTGGTCCCCAAGCTTTCTGGAGCAAGTTCATTTCTTAGTTTAGGAGGATGGTCTTTTTAGCAACAGTTAAAGTGAGGAAGAATATTTTTGTGTTGTGGTTGGGGAGCCAGAATGCTTGGCTATAGGTATTATATAAGTGTTAGGGGGCCAGAGTGTGCAGTTGCTTGAGTCAGTAAGGCCTATTTGGTGCATTTTTTTGAGTGTGACGTGTGTTCTATGGTTGATTTTGTATTGTATCAGTTGGAAGTTGGGTTTATTTGTCATTGAGAATGTGTTTGTGGCGATATGGAGGGATATTGTTAGGTCGGTGTTGATAAGTCTGTACAATTCTGAAAGGTTTTTATTAGGTGATTTTGAGTCCCCGACGGGGATGTTGGGATAGTGCCTTGTTTGAAGTCAACCTTACGTGTTGACTGATGACTGATTTGAGTTGTATATATTGAAAAAAATATTCATGGCCGATTCCATATTTGCCAGTTAGTTCTGTGAAAGGAATGAAAACGTATGTGCTGGAGTTGTGTGATACCTTTCTCTTTCCTGCTACAGACAAGTTGAATTTGCA